CCTCTGTATGGTTATTGTATCATCCGGTAACCAGTGTATCCTCTACTGTTCAATTCTACGTCCCACTGTAACTCATGACCCCCCCCTTCATTTCCTAACTTCTCTTCCCACCTTCATCCTCTTTGGCCTCTGCCACTAACCACTTTCCCTTCCGTCTAAGACCTTCTCACTTCATTTCATCCCCTTAGAGGAAATACCTTTGAGTAACACCTCCTATATACTTTCCATAATAATAATATCCCTATGTAGTGGAGAATAAACATAGGAAATTTTTAAAGTATTTTCCCACGCATTTTCTCTCATTACCGTTTTGGAAAAAGATTTTGTAAACAGTTATGTCTATTAAAGAAAAGTCTTGTTTTATTATTACATAATTTCTTTATGTAAATTTTTTTTTGTGGTAGTTTTTGGTGATATCTGCAAAATTTTGTGGATATCGCCAAAAACTACCATGGAAAAAAAAACTATCACTACGATGAATATATCCACAAAAAATTTTGCAAATATATCCGTCATTCACCAGTGCCATACAATTGCCCTTGACGGATATATCCGTCGGTCACTGCTGAGTGGTTATAATAATTATACAATCAATAAATAATATACCAGTGGTTCCCAACCTATTCTAATAACAAAATCTTTTAGACATTAATTAAAAAAAATGTTATGAAATTATGAAACCGGACAATTTATGATGATTATAAATGAAATAATAAACCAAAAAGAAATTTATGTAAAAAAAAGATTCATAATTCAAACTGGTAATTAATGTGAAGGATTAATTTTTGCAGATAAATCAATGGATATGGTGGGTGCTCAACTAGTGAAATTGCACAATTTTCTTTCAAACTATTAAATAAACACTCAAGTATTCAAACATTGCTTCTCTCTGGGCAATACATTCTTCAAAGGAAATGAACTCTTTAGTTTTCGATTACACAAGAAAATCAACTACAGTAGTACCTCAGGATATGAACACTTCAGCATACAAAATTTTCAAGATACGACATGAAATTCAAACATATTTTTGCTCCATGGTACGAACAAAAACTCACCATATGATGTTACATTAGTTTGCAGCACCACGTGTTCCTTCATGTGTTCCATTTGTCTGGTCTCAGTCCAAGTGTTTGCTTTGTCATGAAAGGATATCGCTCGATAAAGAAAATCTCGAGGTATTAACAGAAAGTGACTGATTTTATTGAAAAGAAACATCTCGAAAAGGTTCACACTAGCCGTATTGCTGCTCAGTTTAATGACATTTGCCTAAGTCATTTTAGAAACATTTTAAAAAGTAGGCAAAGCCAAAATTCTTTGAATAGATATTTTACCAAGTGACCTCTATCCAGTGAAAGTGCTGGTGGAAGTGAAGGAAAGAAAGCAAAAAGCAGTAAATAAAAAATTTAAAAAAATATATAAACAGAAAAAATAAAAAAAAATTAGTTCTAAGTTATTTTTAAGTTATTGTTACATTATATCATGTAAGTTAAGTTTTAGTATCATTTCCCTTCTCCCTCTCCTCCGCCACCTCCACCATCGTCTATCCTCAAAGATAAAGTGCAAATAAAACTACATTTTTTTTTATCAATTATTATTCTACTATGGTTATTTATATATTTACAACTACAAAATGCATTTTTCAGTGTTTTCCTTACTATAGTTATTTTTATTTTCAATGTACTACTTAGCTTTAATTTGAGTGTGTTTTTCATGTTGGAACGGATTATTTGGTTTTACATGTAATCATATGGGGAAAAATGATTCACCTTACGACATTTTCATGATACGATCTCAGTTTAGGAACAGATTAATTTCATATCCTGAGGTACTACTGTATAAGATACAATTTTCCTACCCTTAGACTCAATGGATTTTATTTTCATTTATGGATTTAATGTGAGCCATGCAGTGTCTATGCACAGGACCTCTTTTACTATTAAAGATTAATAAATTTTTTCATGCATATTTTAAAATATAAATTAAAACTCAAAAATTAATTTTATTGCAGAATCTCAAACTTTATCAGCAGAACCCTATGGTTCTAACAGAACACAAATTGGAAACTGCTGATATATCACATTCCCTTGATTCTAAGACACATTTTCCGCCTAAAACAGAAATATATCTTACATTCACAGTCCAAAACAATTAGCGAGAACATCACTTGGTACATTATGCACTAATAATAGATGTCTCAGCTATACTGCTTAACTGACATATTAAGTTTAATATATTTTTTGGCTTATTTTAGAAATAACTTTACAACATTATTTGGTTTAAATAAAGTTGTAAAATTATTTCTAAAATAAGCAAAAAAAAAAAAAAATATACAGGTAATCCCCGTATAACACAGCATTTCTATAGCATGGATTCACTCTAACATGGTTTGAGAATTGGGTAAAACCCTCATACAACATGAAATGTAATAAATTTTCACATACTTAAGTACTAATAGTTTGTGAAAATTATTATTTTTGTGAACTGTTAGTACTGTACTTAAGTATGTAAATTTTCTTTTCCGCCTTCTGTTGATACATGTAATCCTTCTCAAAACTTGTTTCAGTGTTGCCAGATCTCAACGCTTCTGATTTTGTGTTGCCAGATGTTTTCCCTTATTCCATACTTGCCTTATTCTTCATAAGTGCTTAGCACCATATAAGGAAATTTATAAAGATCTTTTAGCTAAAAGCAAGCAATCTAAAATAACATCTTTTGCAAAAGGTAGAGCATGGATCTGAAATAATGCAGAAAAATGCTCAAAGGATAAGATATCTTGCCAAAAAGAAAATGCCCTCGGTTAATAGTGCTTAGTGGTGACGAAGAAAACATTGTTTAATTTATATCAATATGTATAGTTTAAGAAAATTTAATAAAGATATTTATCTTAATTATGAAA